TCTCATTCACTTCGTATCATTTCACTTCACAGTTCGAATCAATTTCTCATTCTGTAGCATATACTATTTATTGGATACGTTGACGAGTGTTGACAGCCAGAATCAACAATACAGCAATCGAACTGACTTGCTCAACAACGTTCGACAGTCAAATGATCAATTATAGAGTGTATCTGATAGAATGAGAATTTGACTTTAATTGTTCAATGAAATGAATGAGAAATTAGCAGAAGAGAACATTTTTGGTGATAAAAGCTATGAGAGCGATTGTAACAGCAAGGAAAAGAATGAAAACCCTGTTAAAACGAATGAAAATCCTGTTCAGCTCGGACAAAATAGAAGAATGAAAAGTGTTGCCATCAACTAACTGCATTTACATAACCGATTAAAAAAACACCATCACAGTGGCGTTCTATCATAAAATAACAGTTGCACGAAACAGCAATTTACCGATCCCCTCCATTATCATTTGACATCTCCGAATTACCCAAAATGGATAATTTTACCCCCTATCATAACCACAGGGCTAGATGAATGAACTTTATTACACAGCGTATGTGTACATGTGCATATAAAATCTCTATTTTGTAGACCCATAAGGATAAGTTTCTAAGAGATTCTGTAGTGTTCATGTTGATTTCAATGCGCATCTGATGAGTGATATATTATAATTTGACGAGAATGAAATACTATCTGGTTTGTTAAGCACAAAGTGTTCAGATAGATTCATACAATCAAGTATTTTGCTGATTAATATGAGCAATGTTGAGAACGATTTGCTTCCGATACAGTGTAAATTAGCAATCACGAATGAAGCGGTCGCTGATCAATTGGACATTACGAATCAACGGTTAGGGTTTGAACCTTGTTTGGTTTGAATTGCTTATTGTTTCACTCTCGAAATATTCTCGCACTTAGGCTTCACCGTTTCACTTTGATTCAAGAGTCGTTGGGACTCGAATTTAGGCATTTGATTAATTTTCGTAATCACATTTAGCTGATTTGCTAGCAATACCAGCATAAGAAAAGCATTTGCCATCAGGTTTCGAACAACGACAGAGGACGACGTCTTCGTGACTGTACAATTTATAAAAAATGATAGTTGCTTAAACAAAGGAAAGATAAATGATTCACCGGGCGAATCGCGATCGATTTACTCTCGTTGATGTTACAGATTCGAGAAATTAGCGGCGTCGAATGATCAATGTCGAATGATTCATTTTTGTTATGTGTGCAATAGTCGATTGAACTCCTCGAAACAGGCATTGATGCATTGTCGCGGTAAAAGACACATGAAGAAGTTTGAATTCTTCAAGAAACGTTTTGGTGTTGGTAAATGAAATATTTATTACGTTTTTTTTGCATTTTTGCTTTATTTCAATTGAATGTTGCGTTAATCGTAGTTCGACAGCATCAAACATATGGATGATTTCGAGAACGAATATTTCTGTGGTTATGCTCAAAACTATTCATTATGCGAAAAAGCATTTCGATTCTGATCCAATCGTTCCTGTTTCCTTGTTGCTTGTAATTGAGTACGCCTAATCCTTATCAGCAATTTTTCAGGTCCATTCGTTTCGCAGATCTCGCAAGCTGTTCAACTTCCACCATTCGTTCTCGCAGCAACATCCTCTCCTAATCCCAACAACCTTCTTCATTCGTACGTTGCCACTTGTCATCATTTATGCAGCAATGAGAATGAAAATGTGATGAGAATATGTAGCTTCAGTCACTCATTCATTATGTCCGCTTGAAATCTGTGAAATCCATCATATTAATCATCATTTATCATGTTCACTAGACACACATCACACTTATTCGGTGACCACCTGCTGAAAATCAGTTCCGTCAGAATTGAGAGCGACTCATGATTACCTGATCTCATTCACTCAAAATTCATTTTGATAAATAGTTTAAAAAGCAAATCTCTCTCATTGTCAGAGATGTATGTGTAATGCATTCCTTTTGTTGAATCTATCGAATTTGAAACTTTTTTGGAACAGGTCGTTTCTCAAGATAAATTTATCGAGAATCATTGGTTCGTTGGGGAATTGCTAGAGTAAACGTCATCAGTGATATTTCTAAGTGTATGAATTAATGTTACTATACGATGAGCACGCTGACTGAATACATTCACGAAGACCTGTGCTTCAAATGATCCAATGAAATCAGCAAATTTATCAGTTGTTAACTTTTGGAATTCAGTGGATCGTTACCGTCAGTCGTGAATGCAACAGCAGCGTTATCAATTCAATGCACCGATCATCGACCAGCGTACAACATTTCGCAAAACGCTGCACTCAGCATGGTGGTGTGTTCCCAATTTATCGAAAACACCGCAGATCATTTATTCCAACTACATAGATCAATTGTGTTTTAATGCACACAGTGAATTTCATTCGATATTCCTTAAAATTATGTATGAATTACCATTCCGCATTGATGGTTTTTTGATCAGTTTATTTCCTGCCGAATCCTATTTCATTTTCAGAACATCAGCTTTAAATTTCTTACAGAACTTTAAAAATCTCAGCCCATTTCAGCTCATGACCAACCTTTTTCACCCTGATCAATGTTTTCATAGCTTTTTCTTAGCGGTCTTCTCAAACGGTCTGGAATAT